AAGGGGTCCTGGAGCCGAAGCTAGCCGAAGGATCGGCCGAAGCTACGGCCAGATCCTTCGGCAGCTTTGTGAATAGACCCCTCAGCCTGGGAAATGCTGTACACAAAGGACAGGCTCACCATATTGGACACTTTACCAGGCACCATCTGACCAGTTCGCATTCTTTCTTAGATACATTGTAAGCATATAAATAATTGTTCTGGAAACTACTAAGCACTAGTAACCCTCTGTAAGGGACATGCTAAGACATGCTTACATTGTTACCAGAGATGTGTTCTGGCATAGGATTTGTACTGCTAGTGGTTTTTTTATTTACATCTTGTCAACGTTTCTGCTGTTCTACATACAGGCTTTCTTTTACTTGTTATATAACAAGTTTAACACATTCCAATCACACATCTGTCATTCATAAGAAAAGTTCCTTTATTAGCATCCATGCATTTAAAAAGATCTAAAATAACATGCCAATGTTCTAACAGCTTATAAACCACATTTAAATGTATCACTGGTTGTGAGCTACCCCACATATTGTATCAGCTGGTAACTATAGCTTGACTTTCATGTGTTTCAAAGATATATATATATATATATAGACAACTACAGAACCCTTACCGAAAAGCTTATGAGCCACTTTAAAAGTTATCACTGCTCCAAAAATGTTCTCCTATGTAATCATTTGGACTTTTAGTTCAGATTGGGGTAACCTGTAGCTCAAACAACCTAATCTGCTTGTTTTTCGGACGCTTTGAAAAAAAGTTAAGACTAGTTCTTCCATTGCGCATTCTCATTTTTCTGTATAAAAGGGAATAATTGAAGATCAGTTTGTCCCTGCTCTGGGATTAGTTTCCAAGTTCAATCATTTAGGCCATAGAGAAAAAAAAAAAGGCACAAACTGATGTTAAGCGGTTTATAAGCAGTCTTATAATACATTACTTATATCTCAAAAGATAATCTTAACAAGCAGAAACTAGTTCCTGTATTGCAATGGGTGAAGACGTAAATAACTTTAAGTATTGCATGTCATTAGAGGTGTTTTCCATTCCCAGGTAATGGTTTAAAAGATGATTTAAATGTTTTAAATGGAAAACACAAACCGTTCCAAAGAATAGTGCTTTAGTACACTTTGGTAGTCAGGTCATGAAAAGCTAAAATGTCATTGGTTGCTATAGGTTAGTGAACTTTTTGCATGTAGTCATTGCATTTTGTAGTTCATTATTAAATAAGCAGAAATGTATGGGTATGTACTTACCACACTGGTAGTATAGAAGGATGATCTTTAGAAAAAGCAGTCTACGTAGTCCTGGCTTGTCCATCTCTTATCTGACTTGATTCTGCTGGGTTGAAGGAGGAAGTGAATCTGAAAAAAATCGAGCATGATGGACACTTGGTGTTGGGACACTTCCTGGTTGCGTCGAGAACATAAATGTCATTTTTGATGTCCTACTTCTCTATTGAACAAAGAAGCAGATCACCAGCACTCAATAGTAAAGTTGCATATGTCCTTTTTATTGGACAAAGACGTCACAGTGATCCCTTCCTCAAGGCAGAAACACGTCTTTCTGCCTTGAGGAAGGGATCACTGTTACGTCTTTGTCCAATAAAAAGGACATATGCAACTTTACTATTGAGTGCTGGTTATCTGCTTCTTTGTTCTGTGTTTGCACGGCGCCATCCGTGGTTATCACTGCGAGCACCATTTTTATTTATTGGCCGGGACTGCTGCAAGGTGTGCGGAGGGCTCGTCCATCGACCTACTACTTCTCTATTGTTCTGAAAGACAGAATTGAGGCCCCTGATTTTAATAGGACATACTGATATACTGTAGATGTAATATATAACAGTTGCCAATCATCTACTTCTGGAACTGTGCAATAATGCTCTCTAACTCAACACACATTTTCCAGCATTTACTGAAACATGCACAAATTATAAATCCAAATTGGCTACTGGAATTAGAATTGGTCTCCACTGGCTTTTGAGATTTGTTAATATATACGTGAGATAGTTTGTTTGTTTTTGTCTCCTAATAAAAAAACAGTTAGGAAGTGTTAAATACGTATTCTAGCTTAGGAATATGCACAACACCTTCCCCGGACTATATTTCTACATCCATAAAATAAATCTACTCTAAGGAATGCTGCCTATCCTACCTACTACCTTTTTTTTTTTTTTTTAAGAAGTTTCCCACTTATGCCTATTGGGGTCTCTCCTCCAACTTTAGAGCATTGCAATAGGCACTGAAATTGGTGATGGTGTTTTCAAACCACTTACTTCTCTATATCACAGTTCCCAATTTTTCTGTAACCTGTATAATATGATTGGTTTTCTGGATATGCTGTCAACTTGGATAATACCAAAGACAAATCTTTACATAGGAAGACTTGGCCAGCCTGATAATGCAAAAGAAATAAGTTCCTTCCATCGCTGAAATATTATTGCTTTCTTCAAAGTTATTTTATGTCTGTGCGATGTTTGATCACATTTATTGGAATCTGACTGGATTTACTAATTGGATATAGTGCAAATCCAGAGTCTAAAGCAGGGGTCTCAAAGTACCGGCCCGCAGGCAAATTGCGGCCTGCGAACCGGTACTATGTGGCCCAGAGCCAGCTGACAAGTCAGGTACACGGTCACGGACCGTGTACCTGACTTGCATGAGCAGCTACACGGTCTGCATCTCTGTCAGATGTGCTCTGCTCCTTTCGTCCGGAGCTCCAGCCGAAAGGATGGATTAGTAAGGTCTGCATCAGACCTTACTAATCATCACCAGGGAATGATGTGTCTCCACCCTGCAAAAATGTAAGCAGGAGAGGGGGCTATTAGTTCTATTTTTGTGTGTGCGGGGAGGGGGGAGTATTAGGCTCCATTCACACCTATGTTTTAGTTGCAATTTGGGATTTCTTTGTCAGGAACTTGCGATTTCCTGCAGCAGGAATCCCTAATGTGGCGTTTACATGCCGCAGTTGTCAACCGTTCAAGTTAATGATCAGGTGACAGCCGCTGCATGTAAACGCCTGCACATATCACATACAATTGCATGTGGTTAGTAATCATTCTCCCTGAACGCATTAATCGTGCATCCAGGTATAATGATTGATTTCTAACCACATGTAATCATATCACATACGATTACATGCGGTGTGCAGGCGTTTACATGCAGTGGCTGTCACCAGGTCATTAACTTGAATGGGTGACAGCTGCTGCATTTAAATGCCACATTAGGGATTTCTGCTGTAGGAATCCCCAATCGCACCTACACTTACAGGTGTGAATGGGGCCTTATTGTGTGTAAATTAATGTTTGTAATTCTGGTTGTGGGGGGTTGTGCATATTTCCGTTTGTGTATTTCTATGTGTGCGTATCTCTGTGTGTGTGAAGTATGAAATTTGGCAAGTGGCCCCCATGGGAGAAAAAAAAATGTGTCCAGTCGATCTTACCATGATTGACTCAACTAATTTTATTCAAAAGCCCTACAAAAGGTCACCCAGACCTGCTACTTGAATGGAATCCCAGACATATAAAGCATGTTCCTAGCACATGGGCATTGCAGTATGTATCTTTTTTTTCCCCAAACGGAAATCATATTCATTGGTAGAATTTTGTTGATTCAGATAAACAAGTAAAATGTTCCATCTTGCTACTTCGATTTTCCTTGTCATTGGTTGAAAATGAACACTGATTAGACCCCAGTAGCCATCAAAAAATCTAACAAACGTTCAGAAAATGAGTTTCGAACAAAAATCTACTAATGTTTGACCAGCTTTAGGCGATATGACAAAACTAAGAGATCTAGAACAAACTGAGCAGTTGATGGTGAATGAAACTTTTATTCAAAGTACTATTAATTAAACTTATACATTGCATTTAAAATAACGCAGTGTCAAAAGCACTTGTCTGAAGTGTTAGTCTCATGCTGTGCGCCACACCTTTGCATGCATTTAAAATGGAATAAATGGCTTGCCCTATTTTTTGCGTTTGCAGTTAAACGCAACGCTGGCTAAGTTTTGCCACGCGTTCGATCGCACTGCGGGCGGGCGTGGAAGCGGTGCCATTGAATACAATGCACCGCCACGCCCCCTCCCACCCCAAAACGCAAGGGAGAAGTTTCACAGCGATCGCAGTGCGTTTCAGCAGCTACCGCTCTGGAACGCACACGCTTTCGGTGTGAACAAGCCCTCAGGATACAGCACCAATCACATTAGTTACCTGTGAAGACTTGTGTCCCACCTCCAGGATGCTGCTTTGTGACAAAATCTTTCCTTTATGCCGCTGGATACACCCCAGAGAGACTTCTGATGTTCTCATGCTCTGGGGTTTAACACCAGCGACTATCAATGTGACAGTTGTGTTGCACGCCTGCTGCTTTTTCCATTCTAGAGTTCATACTATGATAATTCCACAGTACGCCACACTTGGTGAATGGGCTGGGCAGATACTGTCAGTCATCTGCTCCTCCTCCATTCACAAAGCATGTTGCATTGTGGAATAATAGCACAAGCTCTATGAATGGATAAGGGGACAGGAAGGGGAGGACGAGCTGCGTATTTTAATTTCTACTTGTTTGTAAAGGGATAAAACCTGGGGAAATGTGCATGCTCTGCAGAGATGTACTACATATGTTTTCTTTATTTTGCCTTGACATATGCTTTAATAAGATTTTCTCTTTTATCAGACCATTAGTTAGGGGAACTGTCTGGAAGAAACCCAGACAGAAATATAAACCCATTTTGTTTCTAGTAAAGTAGGGAAAGGCTACCTATTAAACCCACCCAGCATAAACTAGAGAAGGAACAAGCTGCCCAGTGATGGCATTGCAAACCCCATGCTATGGACAAAAGAACAGTGGCTCACTCTTCCTGGGTGTCACTGTCTTCCATCCTAATGAGCATTTATTAGGGTAGGGATACCAGTGTACTGACGTGTTCACTTTGCTTATAAAAACATGGGAGATACTTGAAAGATTGATTTATTTTATTTTTTTTGGTCATGTTTCCGCACAGGTGGGAAGTGGGAGAAGCCAGCAGAGATGATGCAGGTGAATGGAACCATGTGGGAAGAACAAGTGAACAGCCTGGCTGATGTATTTGAGGAAGCCGGATTTGTTGTGGAGGCCTTTACCCGACTTCCGTATTTATGCGAAGGAGACATGTACAATGACTATTATGTTCTGGATGATGTTGTCTTTGTTCTTCGGCCTGTGTAGACCCAACAGCTGGAAAACGAAAGGACCCTCAATGTTCCTACTGAGCCAGAATGTTGAAAAAGACTTTTGTAGGAACGTAAGAACTAATTCAAGGACAGCTTTTTACTGTATGTGCAACAGAACCATGCGTGTAATGCATATATATAAGTGTTGTATGTTTGTGTGTGTTTCTGTATATACAGAATTTCAGACAGGAAACCTTTTTTAACCAAATCAACCGTGCTACCTTTTCAACAAAATGTGAACATATTTTTATGTGACTGAGATATTGTGTGCTGATGAAAAAATGTAGAAAAAAACAAATCTTGTGCCATAAAGTGTTTGTTTAAAGGGTTACTAAGCCTAAGACACCACCTGACTTCTAAAGATAACCAACTGAAGCACCTCTGTCATTGTCACCAGGACTCCATGATGAACCCTCCATGGCACCGTTGTGTCTGACCTCATAGAGTGGGTACATACTGAGTATTTCTACTCCTGCCTGAAGTCCACACCTGCCTTCAGGACTAACTAAGGCCATGGCCAGGGAAACTTGCCAGACTCCTGGGTGCAAATCACAAACTATTAAAGCCATTAAATGGGCATGACAGCCAAGCAACTTTCAGGAAATCCGCAATGGCAACCTCTGAATCTTTACTGTAACAAATATGTCATTGCTGTCCTTGCAAAGGTGCTAACTCCCAAACTGTCATCTTTATCCCCACTTAACGAGTCACTGACAGGAAATAAGTATCCAGGACAGATATCCCAACACTGGCTGCATTCTTATTAAAGGTAAATGACTCATTCAAGTAAAAAGAATTGACTGTTGTGAGGACGGGGGAAATCTTCCAATGAGGCAATCTCCACACTTTCACTTTCTGTTATGTCATTGGGACAGGAAGTGAAGGGAAATCGTCCCAATGGACACCCACAGCAAAGACAAGAAATAGATCCAACAGTTCGAACCATTCTTTACCCGGTCTAAAACGAAATAAAAGGTTTTGTACCTTTTAGTACTGAAACAATGAGAAGGTTGCAGCTTCAGAAACAAATAAAAGAACGATATGACGAGGAATTTCCTTTTAGTAATGACGTTTTTACATTGCTGATACAGCTTTTCAAACCTTTCAGTCACAATGATATATTGTAACACAGCCGTACGGGTAGGCTGTGGGAAACACTGCAGTCTGTGGAGAGACTTAAATGACACAGAGAGCAGGACTGCTATGCTACTGCATTGCATACAGTCTGTTCATTCTGAGTTTGTCTTGGTGCACTCCGGGAAAATGTTGAAAATCCCGTAAAGAAAAAAACAATCTTTTTCTGCCATGGTTTATATATATATATATGTTTCATATTCATTCCTCCATATTATTCTAGAGACACTGTCAGATAGCGTCTTTAATCATAGTTGTGATGCTGTCTGCATTGCTATTATTTCACCCTGTTATATTTATTGTCTTATAGAGACCATCAGTTATGAGATGATACCTATGTTATGTCTAAAACCCAAATATACTCTGTGTATACAAGTATATTTGGGTTTTATTCAGGGCTTGTTCACACCAGATCTGCATGAGTTTCTGCACATTTGTGCCGCATTCCGGGCTTTCAGTGCGTTCAATGGCGTTTGCATGTGTTTTTGATGCGTTTGCATGCGTTTTGGAGCCTTCCAGAGCAGAAAAATAGGGCCTGCTGCAGTTTTTCCACATGCTCTGGAACTGAACGCTGTGGTGTGAACCAGAGTCCAAAATACCATTGGAATACATTGGATGCATTTTTGATGCATTCTGTAACTGCTCTGCATCTGCTCCGCACTTGGTGTGAACAAGCCCTCACCCTATTAATCATTTTTACATTGGATTATGTTCTTTTGATGATAATGTAAAGACATAAGGCTATACTGATATTTCTACATCCAATAATATTTTGTGATGCTACGGCCAGCCTATCATTTTACATTAGCCATATCGGAGCAGAGAGAGTCTTACTCTAGTGTCTTCCTATGGGCTATATTTAATAAGCAGCAAATGATTGGTTTGATGGGCGCTTGCAATATTTGTAAATCAAATCACTGTTACGTGTTTGCCTGATTTGATGCTGATTGCTACACGTATGGAATTTCAATTCCTCAACGGGAAATTATCTTAGTATCATTCACTGAGTCTGAGCTGTTTTTTTGGCATTTGCGGCCTAGATTTGGTATATAGTTGATATGCCTGACACACGCTGCAAGGGTTAAATGCTTATTAAATCTAGGGGCAGGTGAAGGGTCTCTATTACTTACCTTAACCCCCACTCTGCTCTCCTCTCTGACACTTTGGGCTGAAGGCAGTCCCTCGGCATCAGCCCTTCATGTGTGTGACCGCCGCGGCGAGATCGGTCACTCTGATGGAAGGTGCCTGCTAGAGAAAAGCAAAAGGTAATTACTCCTTTTTCTTTTCTTTTCTGCAAATCGCAGTTAACCCTTGCAGTGTGGGGGTCCCCAGTTTTCACTTGTGCCTGGAGTCTGGCTTTAAATACGCTTCTCTCTCCTGCACACTAGCATCTAGCACTGTGAAAATGAGAACTGAAATCCTTATTTGCATTTGTCCTTAGTGTATATCTTTCCCGAATGTCTGAGTACAGCTGCCCATACACTATGTGAATTTTGGCTGGTTCTTGATGAAATTCGCACAGTGGCTGATCCTGTCGGCAACCTTTCGACTGGCGTCCCTTGATCAGCTGATCAAAGGAGTCGGTTGGAAAATCTTTAAACAAACAGAGCCGGCAGGCAATGAGCTGCCAGCTCTGTTCGGGTATTCTGACAGCGGCCGGTGGCAGCTGTCGGAAGACAATGAAGACAGCGGGAGATTCCTCGATCTAGAGGTATCTGTTGTTATTTTTATTTTCTTTGTTCGGCACGCAGGATAGATGAAGAAAATATTAGTGTATGTCCAGCTTTAATCTAGGCTATAGAATTGCCTGCTTATAATAGTGTAATGCTCTGGACTACAAATCCCAGAGAAGTAAAGCTTATCTCAAGGATGAGCCCAGCTGTAAAGCTTGGCAAAACTTTAATTTCTATTTGTTGTCTGTAGTCCAGAGCATTACAAATAGCTATATCCCTAAGTGTTTATTCAACAGTAGATGAGGGCATCAGTGGTGTGTCAGCAAATCCCCATCCCGTATATTTTTAGTTTGATCTCATCTGCTCTTTATCTTCTTTAGCTCTGATAACTTTCTGAAACTGTCTGGAAATGATATCCATCGCTGTCATGTTTAAACCAAGTTGCATTTTAGGTCACTGGCTTTTTTAATGAAAAAGAAATCGACTATTGCAATAAACAGTCAACATAGGAAAAACAACTGTGAAATGTCAGCCTGTTCATTGTGATCAAACTTGTTGATTTTCTAGTGAAAAGCACGTCTTTTAACCATGACAATAAAGAGTCCTAAGTCTGGAATTTAAATTTTGGTTATTAAAATGATTTAAAAAAAAAAAGCTAATGTGTTCTGTTTATTTTGTTGCAATACAAAACTTTAAATGGGGAAGTGGTCTAAACCATGGCGATGACATGACGGCAAAACTGTATAGGAGCCAAGTCTCATTTAATAAAGAAGTATGTGTGTGTATTTATATATATATAATGTGTATAACAAAAACAAAACGGAGTATTGTAGTATGCGATGATACCTTTCTTATTGGACTAACAAAATATATAACCTCTCTTCTTCAGGTCAGAAGCAATACTAATCAACATGACAACGTTTACCACTTAAAGCAAGAGAAAGTTGTTAGGGAGGGGGGGTGAGTGGGGTGTCATAAATGTTGGACCTGGGAGTAAAGAATGTATCCTGATAACTAGAACACAGAACAAATAAACATAGGATGACCAATAAATCCTGCACAGATCAGGGATATACAACATACATGAATATTATTATGTTCTGTATATTCCTAAAAAGTTCTGGTAGTGTGTAAGAAAACCAGAATCCACATTAGGTCCCTCCTTTATGGAATTGAAATGTAAAATCATTTCTATTTCAAATGTTTTTCTTTCATGAGAGTTTCTAAAATTCCCTTTCAGTACTTTAATATTGAGGTTTTGGATGGAGTGATCTTTCTGGGAGAAGTGATGTCCTACTGGAGTGCAATATTCATTTTCTTTGTGGTTATTGATCGAGCTCCTGTGTAGGTTCATCCTGACATGCAGCTTAAGGCCAGTTTGCCCAATGTAACAACCTTTGTCACATGCTGAACACTGTATCATGTACACCACGTTGGCAGATCTACATGAGTATGACCCCTTAATGGTGTACGTTTTTGTTATATGTGGTATATATATATATATGACAACATGGTGATTAACTTTGCAGCCCTCGTGATCTGCACATTGTTCAAGACCACTGAATTGGAGAGCCATCCAACCTATCTTTCAGAGAAAGAAGCTGAGATGGATGTTTTCACTTTGCCACTATGCAAATCGGTCTTTTCTTGTTCTTTCCCCAGTGACATTACTCTCCAGCAGTGGTGTCACAAGGGGGGGGGGGGGGGGACGCACATGCCCCCGC